GCACATGCTGTTAGAAAAATGGCACCGACAAATGTGATTGACACAGGGTTGCCACAAACCCTAAATCTGTAAAAAAAAAAAAAAAAAAAAAACGCAGTATGTGCAAAGCATGCCAAAGCAAAGCGTAAGAAAATGAGATATTCCTGTTTGTGTGTGTGTATATGAGTGTGTATTTCTTCCTCACAGCTTCTGCTTGCTTGACTTATTCATAACTTCAGCTCACTCATGGACTCTCTTGATTTTTCTTTACCTCAAGACATTTTAACTTCTGTGTCTATTACTAAGTTCGTTTTTCCGTTTGATTTCCTGAAGGAGAGAACCTTATAGAACAAAACCATCACTGTTCAGAACTCTTTGGGGCCATTACTTCAGAGGTGAGGAAGGGGCAGGATTCCAAGGTAGAAAACATGTCCCTGTAAAACTGATCTTTTTGAGGAAGGACAACTTCTATAAAGGGAGATGCAGACATGGTAGGTATTTTGTCTTTTAGCAGTGGTCCCCAACATTTTTGGCACCAAGTACCAGTTTCATGGAAGACAATTTTTCCACGGATGAGGGGGACTTGGGGGGAAGCTCAGGCAGTGGTCCACAGCCTGGTTTCTAACAGGCCATGGACCAGTACTGGAGCTTCGGGACCACAGTTTTATGGTATAATTACATCTTATTTTTTATTTAGAAAAAATATACCTAGATCATGCTAGAGTAGAAAACTGAAATGAGGATTAAGTGAGCTTAAGGGATTTCAGAAGATTCATTTTTATTTTATTTCACCATATTTTATTTTATTTTGTTTCATTTTATTTTTTGAGACAGGGTCTTGCTCTGTTGCCCAGGCTGGAGTGTAGTGGTGTAATCATAGCTCACTGAGCCTCCTGGGCTCAGGGAATCCTCCTGCCTCAGCCTCCAAAAGAGTTAGAATTGGCCGGGCTCCGGGTGGTTCACGCTTGTAATCCTAGCACTCTGGGAGGCCGAGGTGGGCAGATTGTTCAAGGTCAGGAGTTCGAAACCAGCCTGAGCAAGAGTGAGACCCTGTCTCTACTATAAATAGAAAGAAATTAATTGGCCCAACTAATATATATAGGAAAAATTAGCCAGGCATGGTGGCACATGCTTGTAGTCCCAGCTACTCGGGAGGCTGAGGCAGAAGGATCGCTTGAGCCCAGGAGTTTGAGGTTGCTGTGAGCTAGGCTGATGCCACGGCACTCACTCTAGCCTGGGCAACAAAATGAGACTCTGTCTCAAAAAAACAAAAACAAAAACAAAAAACCCACAAAAGAGTTAGAACTATAGGTGCACACTACCATGCCTGGTTAATTTTCTAATTTTTTTGTAGGGATATGCTTGGTTTTGCTATGTTGCCCAGGCTGGTCTTGAACTGCTGGGTTCAAGCAATCCTCCAGGTTCAACCTCCAAAAATGGTGAGATTACAGGTGTGAACTACTATGCCAGGCAGAAGATTCATTTTTAAACACTAACAGTGATATCCAATAAAGAATTGTACCAAAAGGCTTTAAAATCATGTTTATTTGGTTTTATTGAAGGTCAAGACCACCAGAGAGAAGTACTAACATAATACTGTGAGAATTAATCTTCCCCCAACAATTATATTGACATACTTTATTGTTTGAATTTTTTCTTCTATATGTTAATGAATATCTAAAAATAAGAAACAGTAAATCATAATAAAGTATAACAATAAACTGACTGAGCTCCACAAGGGAATTTTTAGTAATATGCCTATTCTTAGTTCTCTGGGGGAAAGTCAGTTAGTTAATCATAAAGCAAGAATCCTAATCTATTTCATAAGGGCAGGGTAAATTAACACTCTAAAAGTTAAAATTTAATAGAGTCCCCTTTCATTAAGAAATAGAAATATGGTGGAATTTATAGGTAACATATTTTACTTTTTCGTTTCAATCTTTCTTTTATATTTTATGTTTTATTTTTTATTTCTCAGAGAAATTTAGATTTTCCTCCAGGTTGGAGAACAAGGAAATTTCATCTTTGTAGAGTTGCCTCATCTTTAGGCCCATATTTAAAGGTGGTTACAGAATGCCTAATGTAGGCAAAATATAGATAGAACTAAAAGCATAAGAGGGTCAGAAGAACTCTTGAGAATTCGAAATGAATTGACAACAACAGTTGTATTCAGAGTGGGGAAGGTCCTTAGTCTAGTCTCACATTTGGTGAGGAATCTCTTCCTTACCATTGCTGACAGGTGGAATGGGTGGGTGAGTCCCTGATACTTGGAGAAATATTATTATTATAAATTCACATTATATTTTTAAGGGTTTGTGAGAAAATTTGCCATCATTTTATTAAATTTTTTCCCATATATTTTGAGGTAAATCAGTATTTTTAAAATTAAGTTTCCTATGAGAAATGACAAAGATAGGTTAAGCAATCTGTTGAAATGTTCTCAGAGGTGAACACCTCCTTGGTCAGCTAGGAAATAGAAAACATCTGATAAAAACAAAGAAACATGCATCTGTCTTTACAGATTCATTGTAGTGTAATGGCAGAAGTCATTCATGCACAGACAATTGCAGAGCACCTACTATGTGCCCAGGTGTTTTCCTGTGTATTAGGAGTGCAGTGGAGAGGACAGACAGGGGGACTTTTTCCTCATGGAGTTTACGTGCTAGACATTGGCTGCCAACATTGGCAAACATTCAAAGAGAGGAAGGGTAAAGTCTCTTCATGTGGATTCCTAAAGGAATGTTTGTCTTTACAAAATGTCTAAAGAAAATACATTGCTTTTCTTACGTTGAAAACAGTATTAGGAAAAGCATATCAGAGTTGCTGAGAAAGTGTTAGCATTTTCCAGCTCTGAAATTCTGTGCTCTGCCCCATGCTATGCTTCTGGGGAAAACTACTATCTGTTAATACAATTCTCTTTTGGCAATCATTTTATATGACTAGATTACCACTTACGGATCTCAGTATAGTTTAAGGGATAGAACTGGGAAATTCAAGGATTAGGAACGAATATTTTAGTGGTCTGCAAAAGGCTGATAGCTAATCAAGGTAAAAAGAAAATCAGAAATCCCATTTCTGACCCCTGTAAAAATCACTTCTAATCTCCCCACTTGTCAAAACTTCTTGCTCCCTTTGGGGTACTCGCTTGACACTATCTTCTGCTTCTGACAGATTGATTACCCAACAGAAATTTGTTTAATGGAGTATTTTTACCATGTTGTTTCAAACCAAATCATGTTTGTTTTGTTTTGTTTTGTATTGCATGAGACTATTAAGATAGATATTGCTTTCTAGACTGTGGTTTTGGTTTTTTTGTTTTTCAATCAGGCAAATTGAATGTCAACAATGTGTGTGAAAGTGAAAACCAATAAAGTCTTTAACTAGTGAGCTCAACTGTAGAGCTCTCCTGTGGGAGAAGAGGCAATCAAAATGTTTTGCAACGTGTCGCCCTCCTCTTCTGAAGACAAGTTTCTCATATTTTAAGATTTATAGTTCTGGTTTCCCTTGCCACAGTCTGGTGGAAAATCTATGAGTGCCACACAGCTGCTGAAAAGCCACAAATGAATGTCATTGTCTTTTCAAAAACCTTGTGGGCACATCTTCAAGTAATTTATCCCCCCCAAATAACATTTCCTTAGAATCATCTGGTTAGATGTAAAAATGCAAATGAAAGGGAAATATTTCCATAAACATATCACAACTCATACACTGAAAATACCTTAGAATTTTTTTGAAGCACCAGCAATACACTGTTGTAGTGATATAAACTTTTGTTATCTATGTCTTCAACACATCAGAACTCTTTTAGGAAATAAAGGATTGGATATATATTTTTTAAAGTATAAAATTTATTTTCATAATGTATAATGCTGTTAGATATAAATTAGCATTGCAATTTCTTAAGAATGCTATTAGGTTAATAAAGATATTTTTCAGTTTAAAAATTGTTCATTTGCTTCCAACTCACCTTTCCTTTCCACCTGCATCTTCTTTCATTGGTCTTTTGATATCTTGTAGTTAAGAACACATGCATCTGGCATATGTAACACTTCAAGTCTTGGTAACAGTAAGAAAGAACAACTAGCACATTCTCAAATTGAGGTTCAGTCCAATAAATATTAACTTGGTGCAAAAATAAGGGCTGTTTTAGTGTTATAGAAATTTGCTGTTTGATATTGGAATACATTCTTATTAATAAATGTGGTTATGTTATATATTATTTTAATGCATATTTCTCACTTTATGTTTTTTTGCTAATGACTTACTACTTGCTGTTTATTTTATATGTATTTTAAACTATGGAAATGATGCTTGACAAAAAGCAAATTCAAGTGATTTTCTTATGCGAGTTCAAAATGGGTTCAAAACGGTCGCAAAGCATTGGAGACAACTCTCAACATCAACAACGCATTTGGCCCAGGAACTGCTAATGAACATACAGTGCAGTGGTGGTTCAAGAAGTTTTGCAAAGGAGACAAGAGTCTTGAAGATGAGGAGCGCAGTGGTTGGCTATGAGATGTTGACAATGACCAAATTGAGAACAATCAGCAAAGCCGATCCTCTTACAACTACACGAGAAGTTGCTGAAGAAGAACTCAACATCAACCGTTCTATGGTCGTTCAAGTAACTTGGAAAGGTGAAAAAGCTCGGTAAGTGGATGTCTCTTGAGCTGACTGAAAATTAAAAAGAAATCATTGTTTTGAAGTATTGTCTTCTCTTCTTGTATACAACAACAACGAACCATTTCTTGATCTGGTTGTGACATGCTGTGAAAAGTGGATTTTATACCAAGACTGGCGATGACCAGCTCAGTGTCAGTGGCTGGACATTGAAGAAGCTCCAAAGCACTTTCCAAAGCCAAACTTGCACCCACAAAAGGTCATGGTCACTGTTTGGTGGTCTGCTGCCTCTCTGATCCACAACAGCTTTCTGAATCCAGACAAAACCATTATATCTGAGGAAGATGCTCAGCAAATCAATGAGATGCACTGAAAACTGCAACGCCCGCAGCTGGCATTGGTCAACTGAAAGGATCCGGTTTTTCTTGACGACAACACCTGACCACATGTTGCACAACCAACGCTTCAAAAGTTGAACAAATTGGGCTATGAAGTTTTGCCTTATCTGCCATATTCACCTGACTTCTCTCGCCAACCGATACCACTTCTTCAAGCATCTCGACAACTTTGTGTAGGGAGAATGCTTCCACAACCAGAAGGATGCAGAAAATGCTTTCCAAGGTTACTTGCATCCCGAAGCATGGTCTTTTACACTACAGGAATAAACAAACTTATTTCTCGTTGGCAAAAATGTGTTGATTGTAAAGGTTCCTATTTTGATTAATAAGGATGTGTTTGAGCCTAGTTATAATGATTTAAAATTCATGGTCTGAAACTGCAATTACTTTTGCACCAACCTAATAGTACAATGAAGTTCACTTGCAACATTTAAACATGTTTTCATATATATGTATAAATACATACACACACATATACACACATATGTACGTATATATGTGTATGTGTGCATATATGCAGAAAATAAAAAAAATGAAAATTTAGATATATATAATAAAGTTCCATTTGTTTTCTTTTACCAAAGTAAATAACAGTAAATTAACCAAAATGCTTGGTTTTTGATGATGACCATAAGCAATAGTAGAAATTGCAATAATTGTACTTTCTTAGACATAAATCAGGTTTTAGCCAAAATACTATGAGGGGAAAAATTATATTTTGTTCATCTTTATGTTCTCAGGTTCTTGTCACTAACAGATACTCAATAAATATATGTCAACTTAGTAAGTATATTATATATATACACATTGTGTATAATTTACATATAAATGTATATGAATATACACAAACATGTATGTGAATATATACATATATTTATTATTCAGCCAAAGTTCTCATAAAAATTAAGAAAAATAAGGGTGGGAAAAATGCCTAAGATGGCTAGAGATACCCCATTATAACTTTCAAGAATATAATTTCATTTCATTTTTTATAATGCTTGTAAGATAGGCAGAGGGATGATAACAGTAAATAAGCAATTTTTCTAAGGTCACATAGCTGGTTAATTACTTAATAGTATTGAATATCCAGGTTTTTTTATCCACTCATTCAACAAATATGTATTGGCTTCCTGTGATGAATCAGGTACTATTCTAGGTTCTTGAAATATATCAATGAACAAATAGAGATCCCAACTGTAAGCATCTTACTTTTAGCCTGGTGTCCTTTCCCTATACCACCCTATTACTCAAATAAAAGTTAAATACAGAAAAATTTGTGTTTTTTAAGGTTAATTCTATTAATAGATATTCATCATCTATCTTTGTTGTTCTGAGTTGTGTTATTTTATTTATTTTAATTCTATTTTACTGTGGTTAAGAACACTTATCATGAAATTTACCTTCTTAACAAAATTTTAAGTGTACAGTGCATTATTGTTGACTATAGGTACAATTTGTATAGCAGATCTTCAGAGCTCAGTCATCTCTTTTAACTGAAACTGTATGCCTCATCACCTATATTAATTTTCACAAACTCCACCCTGAATACTTTAAGTTTTAGATTCAGAGTCCCATGCTTACTTTTTAATATATGGCTAAGCTTAATTTGTTCATATTATGATATGAATATACATAAATATTCTAAATATGCAAGATATAAAGCTTGTTTTCTCTTATGCATGTGTACAAAAACTCATTTGGATGTATAACTTCTCCTCACCAAAATCTTCTATTGTTGAATTTTATGTTTATAAGAAAAAACTAAGAAAGGCTATATTTTGCTCTACAGATAAAACAAAAATATTATGTATAACAATGGTTACATCTTATCTGTGTAGAAGGAGTTAAGGTGAAACTAAGCACATTTTGATGCCTATCCTGACAATATTGTGTAACTCTTTGTAGAACTTGTTATACTCTTAAACCTGTCATTTCTCTCTGTGTATCTTTAGCAACTCCCCAGTACCTGGACCATAGTAGGCTTGGTGTTTGGTTGAATGCATGATTGTATAATTAATTTAAAACATTCTTTTCCACCTGAATATTTACTTGTCTGAGTTAAATTTTTTACTACTTATGAAGGTTATTTAAGCAGTAAAATAGAAGTTCACAAAGCTCTCTACCTTGAATTTTATAGCAAAGATGGGAATGAAATAATATTTCACATGCTGAAACTTGTAACTCAGGCATAAGATTTTTTTCTCCACTCATAGCCATTATTGCATTAGTGAAATATTATACATAGTTATTAATTTTTAGTTTTCTATAATTTATCTCATAAAAACATCATAGAACTATGATAATATTTAGGAAGTCTATAAAAACACATGAGAAATACTTATATTGCTAAATAAACATAATTATATTATTAAATGTAAAAAGGCTATACAATCACATATAGCATAAAAAATTAACTTGTGATAATATCAAATGCATATTTCATGTATGTTTAAAAACAGGACTACTAAAACTATGTATAATAAAAAGACAATGCAGAAACTATAAAAAGTTATATTGAAGAATTGGAATAATAAGTGATAACTTGTTACTTTTCTATACTCTCTGGTACATTTTTTAAAAATTAATAATCATTTTTTACTTGTAGAATGAAAACAAACTCTTGACCCTGCCTACACTAATCTTTATTCCAGCTTTGGAATTACTATTCTATCTTTGAATGATATCTTAAGACAGTTTTTATTTCAATAGCTTCAAATTCTTTCATGATATTAAGAAATACATTGTATATGTGTATATACACATATACATACATATATGAATATGAGAGCACACATACTTCATCTCCCCAAACATTCCATCCAGTGCTCAAGTCTGCTGACTTCAGAGTCTTGCCTGAAGTTGGTCACAGGTTCTCTAAGACATATTCATTTTACCATAATTGTAGAGTTCTTACCAGCTACTGGTCGAGGTTTTTTACTGAGACATCTGGGACTGTCCTCAGGATTCCCATCATCCCCTCGGAAAACCCATGCTGCCGAATGAAAATTTTCTGTGTAGAATCCTTTTTCCTCAATATCAACTCGAAAGCCGAAATCCACAGAACGGCCATCTTCTGAGGTGACTGAGGAATAGAAAAGTCGCTAACATGAGTTACGGTTTGGCAAGAAAGAGGACCCAACACACTGATGGTCAAGGTGAGAAAGCAGCCGAATGTGTGCAGGGGTGAAGTCTGTATTAATGAAGAGTCTTATCCTCCAAACAGGTAGCTAAGTTTGCTAGACAGTTCTCCTGGGGAGAACTAATGTAATGGTAAAATATCATAAATCAAAACAGGTATTGCTTCAGAGTCTAAGGTGTGAAAACCTGTACATTAGAGGCAACACTATAAATCCTTTGTCAAGGAAAAATATGGAAAAAATAGTTGTTTTTAAGACACATATATTAGTATTTAGGGGTCATGATGAAACCACATAAGACTAGGAATTAGATTTAGAGCCCCTTTCAAAGTTCTAAGTACAAGGAAAGGGATTATCAAATACAAAAAAAAAAAAACCCCACCAAAAACAAAAACAAAAACCACACACACAAAACAACTATTGTCTCTGTGCTGCAAAGAAGGAACTGGAAAACTAACTTTCCTAGAAAACCAACTGCCATATTACATGTAAAGTATATAAAGAGGCATGCAAAGTTTCACTTAGCAGATTCTTTCACAGAAATTTAGGTTTTTCTGTGTATTTGGGAATCTTTTGGACAGCGTAGAAGGCTATGCCAGTTAAGGAAATGAGATTGCATGTCTATATTATCTTCCAAGTGTTTCTTTGTGGTTCTGCTAAGGAAGTTAAAACCTAAATAAAGTCATGCCCCAAGCCTTTCAGTCTTTCAAGAGAGCAGAATCACAAAGCACCGTTTCATAACCAAAATATACTTTCAAGAAAATCATAAGTCATTTACTTGCATTTCTCAAATACCATGAAGAGGCTGGGGTTGGAAGACCACAGCAATGCTTCTTAAACAACAGCAACAGCAAGGTGTCTTCTCACTCTCTCTTTCAATTTCTCCTCACATGCTATAGTTGCTCCCATGCTTTTTTTTTTTTTTTGAAAAATTCTAGGAAAAGCCTTTCCCTTCCTTGCCTCACCCTGCCAGCAGGGGCCAGATGAACTGCTGTAGGTCAGTTATGTAAAGCCCCTGGAAAGAATGGTCTTCTGCTCTCACTGATTTTCTTTAGAGAATCATTCTTCATGATTCTTATTCTCATCCCTAAATTTGCACCTCTGTTTTCCTAGTACTGGACTGCAGAGAGTAAATGCTAGTCACCGTCCCAATGCATAGATAAGTGAAACCATAGGTTTCTAGCTGATACGTTTGTTTTACCTGTGTCGAAATGGTCAGCAGTGGTTTATTGCCAAGGCATGCAAAAGCATAGTCTCTTGTAGATAGTCAAGAACATACCCCGAATATCTTTTAAACAAACCCCAAATATCTTTAATGCTTGTTCTTATATTTTTTACTCTGTATACCAAATGATATTGCACTAGTAATTTGATAGTTTAAGTGGTTTCAGGTACATTCATTCATTATCGAATTGAATTGTTATAAAATAGTTATTCTTCTCTCATGAGCAAGGTGCAATTTTAGGCACAATAGGGATAGAAAGGTGAGTAAGACAAGGGACTTTTGATGAAATAAGAGAGTTCAGAGGAAGGAGAGAGTGATTCCAGCTGTAGGAAAATACAGTTAAAGGAAGAATATCATCAAGCTGGACCTTGAGGAGTGGGTAAACTTTCTATGGGGTGGGAGAGAGGAGGATAAACACAGTGGCCTGCAGTGGGGAAGTAAGTACTGGCAAGTACTTACTTAGGCCATGTTGATTGAGTAAATAAGCTTTTTGTGTGTGCAAAAATAAACACAGATGACATATGGGAATATTATGTAATGATAAAGTTGGAATGTAAATGATATAATTTTAAGGAGCATATTGTTTATTGGAATAAAAATTATGAAAACTTTAGAACAGAATACTTTAAATCAGCATATAGCATGACTTCTTCACATATATTGCAAAACCCTTTAAGAACTTTTTGCTTTCATTTGTTGGATAAGTCTGAATGTGACATTTGACTTTAAAGGGTAGGAGAAGTAAACCAAAAAATTATGACAATGTTGACCTATCTTTCTGAGCTTTAAGGCTAAATCAAAGCTTTTTGCTACAATAGTACTTGCTGAAGTTACAGAAGCCCTAAAGAATTTTAAAGTATTAAAGCATCTTTCCTTGTTTGATTTATGTCCTATATTCTCAGCCTTAAAAATCCAGCTCCATTTAAATATTTATGAGTATAACTTACACAGATTCCTGGGCCTACTGATTTATCTTTATTATTTTTTCCCTGAGGAGTAATTGTCTATGGTGGATATGTAATCATCTTCCTATCATGTAAAGGTCTGAGGGTGGGGCTTTAAATTATAGTGATCTTTGTTTTTATTAGCATGCATGAGACTGTTAAAACAGCTCATTTATTTATGAACAGATTTGATTATGTGGATGAGCAGTTCTGTGTTCTTTCAGTTACCAAGACAGAGCTAATCAACATATTCTTACATAAACTGAGACATAAACTTTGTGTTAAAATCCAATGAAGCAGCAAGCTACACACCTGCTGCAAACTTAGAGCTGCTAGATTTCTTTCTTTCTTTTTTTTTTTTTCCAGATGAATTGGTGTAGAAAACTGCTAGATTTCTTAACAACTGTCCCTGTGCAATTTGAGCCAAATAGAAAACAAATCCAAATGTGTCTTTGTCACAAAATCTTTGTCACCAAAATTTTGTTAGCTAGATGAACCTTTTAATAAATGAAACTTTAAGACAAAATGAGCTCATAAATATGCTTGGTGTTACTAAAACTGTGTTTGATCTCTTTTGTCCTTGAAAAATTTAAATATTAGACTTCCTTTTTATTATTTTTTTGACTTGAGAATAAAAAAGAGAAAATATTTGGCCCAGTTCCAGGTATCTTTAGACATTTCTCATATCTCTTTCATTCCACTGTATCATTTGAGAATAATGAAAAAGTGATATCTTATCTGTTTGGACTTTCCCAGGAGAGATCAGGATTTGAATTAAATGGTCCAAGCAGAGAAGGGAGTTGTAGTGCTTAAGAACATAGACTCAGGATGCTGTCTGGGTTTGAAACCCAGCTCCACTACTAATTATAGCTGAGTGACCTTGGACAAGTCACTTATCTTGTCATGATGCAGATTCCTCCTTCAGTAAAATGAGGATTAAAAATGGAGGACTTATCTCATGGTGTTTTGGGGAGAGTTAATGAGTCAGTACATTGTAAAGCACTTAGAATAATACTTGGCACTTAGCAAACACATTGTAATTGTTAGCTCTCATTATTAGGAATTAGAGTTCTTGTGCCTTTCTTTTCTTTCCTCCTTCCCCCCTCCCTCCCTCTATTCCTTCCTTCCTTCCTATTTCCATGCAAAGTAATATTTGGAAAATACATTTCCATAATAATTTTAATAGCTGAATGAAGTAAGGAAAATGCTATCAAGTATCCTCACATAATTAGAGCCAAATTCTCGCCACATCTGTTTGTGATACAGGAGCCATTCGAGATGATAAAAATCAGAGCTCCATTTTGCGGGCCTTTCTGGCTTCAGTTTACAGCCTTCAAGTTATTTACCTGGTGTGCCTTAGTCAGCATTCCCCACGGCCTGGATGGATTGATCAACTGTGTCCACACACATAAATATGTCATTCCTAATGTCTTTTCCAGTTATTATGTAGGAAGTCGGAGATGAGTGAGATTAACAGAGTGAAAAACACCAGCTGTAATGATGCTCGATAAAGCTGTCAGGTTTTAAGTCATGGGTTAGTAGCATATCCTGACTCTATAAATGAGATAAAATTTAAACCACACATTAAACAATGCTAGCCCCAGCAGCTCTTAGTGAATTGTAGTCTCTACTGAAAAGTTTCTGAAGAAATACAGCATGCCTTCTGTGTGTTGTGGCTTGGATAAACTGGAAAATAGAAATGGCAGGCGGTTCAATTCTCTTGTGTCTAATGTGAAACAAATTGTTAGTAGGTATAAGTTTTCATTCAAAACAGAGTTCACCCCAAAGAAAACATAATCATTGTTTTAATTAAAATGATTATGTTATTTTGGCATGAAATTAGAATTTGTATAAGTTATACAGCTGATTCCTATGTTATTGCAAGTGAGGTACTGGTAAATGTTTTAAGTGCCTTTCCAAAAAGAAAGAAAAATAATCCCTGATTTGCAGTGTTTGCCAGTTTCCATTGTATAAATACTCCCACCATGGCCAATTTCAAGCTACCAACCTGCTGTCACTGAACTGTGGTGTTAGAAAAATGTGCACAGTTGGCTTTTGTGAGCCACTGTGAGCTGGCTCCAGCACATCTGTGGTTGATTCTTTTTCTCAAGAAATGCAGAGCAAACATGAATGTTTAAGAGCACTAGGAGCGAAAATTTTCCATAAAACAATGAATGAAACAGACTTGGACTAAAAGAGTCCAAGTAGCTGAAGGACACAGTGATCTGGAAGGAACTAGTCCTTCTACACTAGAATGAACTAGAAGGAACAGAAAACTGGAGAGGAACTGATCCCATTCTCTCTGACACATGAAGATAGTCTATAGTTAGCCAAACTAAACAAAGTTGCCATTCAATCTAATTTCTTAGTTTATATCAATCATAAATCATTCTAGGTAATAGTAGAAGCTATTACTATGTGTAATAAATTTTTATTATTACACATAAAATTTTGTTCCTGGTCTTCTTAGTTATAACCAAATTGGTCATCCCTCAGGTTCCTTTTCTTAGGTTTTAAGATGGGCAGATACTAATTACTGTAATATTGGTTTATTGCTGAATACCTTGATAATTTTGTTTACACAGGTTTAGGGGTATGAACTGTTGTGGACTTTATCTTCAGTATAAAAAGAAGGAATTTTTTAAGAGTCCAAGAAAAAAAAAAACCCAGAAAGAAGAAAATAAAAACCAACAAATAGTATTATTATCCAAAGGAAGCAGTGTTACAACAGGGCCTTTTTGGATGGCTACAAGAATCAAAGCTCTGTTGCACAAAC